ATAAGTTTGATAAAGAAACAACACAGATTCGGTAAATCTTGGATTTACCTAAGAAATTGCAAATTTACCTGAAGAATTTTTGAATTTACGTATAATGGATGAAATTTGATAAATTCAGAATTACATGAATTTATCCCACAACTAAATTGGGCAAATCTAGGATTTATCGAATGTACTCTTATGAGCCCCAATTTGTATTTCATCTACATTTATTGTTTATTTATTTACATAATATTTATTAATTGTTTAGTTAATACACTTTTTTCTCTTTTAAATTTAAAATATTATTTGTTAATAAATGTAATAACATGTTTTTTTTTACTATCATTAAAATTCAAACATAGAATTTAGAACATTCAGATATCAAGCGATGTAACTAAACATATTAGTATTAGGATCTAGTAATTACAAGTTACAACAATAATTAAATTCTCTTTACAATATCTCTTTTGAGCTTCACACATAATATAACTATGGATATCGGTTCTAATATCATTTTTAGGGGTATCTCTGTCTAGGAAGAAAGAGAAAAATAAGTCAAGACTTGAGATGAATTAAAATTAATAGGCCAATAGTATACATAAGTTAATAAATAGGTCAAATTACTATTTTCGTCCATAACTTGTCTGGTTATGAACCATAACTTGACAAATTTATTTATAACTTATCTGATTTTGAACCATAACTTGACAAATTTATTTATAACTTATCTGATTTTGAACCATAACTTGACAAATTTATTTATAACTTATCTGATTATGAACCATAACTTGACAGGTTATGACCTATTAATTTCTATAACTAAAAATTTATCTATATACTTTCTTAAATTTTTCATATTAGCCTATTTTCTATTATTTCTCCTCTTTCTATATAGTAGGCCGTTCGTCGGCCATTTTTCATAGCAATTTTGTGTGGAGTCACTTTCTTTAAAACCACACGTACAAACAATAAATAATAAATAAATAACTTCCCCTTACGAAACAATTACAAGCCAGCTTTTTTTTTTTTTTTTTTTCAAACAATGTGAAAAACCACATTATGTTTTTTTTTTTTTTATAATTAAAAACCACATTATGTTATAAATAAGTGGATTTACTCATATTACCTAGTCTAAGCTCAAGGATACCTCATCTTAAGCTTTTTTTTTTTTTTTTTTTTTTTTGTAATTTATACATTTGTCCTTTAAACTTGTATAGTTTTAACAACTTCCTCTTAAACTTTTAATTTTGACAAATTATCCACTCAACTTATAAAATTATTGTAATATGCATCATTTTAACAATGATTACATTAAATTAATATAAAAAAAATGAACATTTGACAAAAAATTTTAACATCCTAGAATAACACAAAATTTTCAATTTCTCAACTGTTAATTCATTAAATCTAATAAAAAATTTGAACAAATTTAATAAAATGATGCACATTATAATAATTTTATATGTTTAAGGAATTGATTGTCAAAATTAAAAATTTGAATGGCAAATCCAGAACAAATTTAAGGAGCAATTGTGCTAATAAATTTTTTTCTTTCGAATCTATCTTGTGTATATAAAAGACGCCTAGAGATTTTTTTTTTTTTGTTTTTTTTTTGCTGCAATGACGCCTAGAGAAATTAATATCTACTGGCTTCGGACATCACCTAACCTAATGTCCGAGCCAGTAAATATATCATGCATCACACAAGACCTCTAATCTGCCAAAAGTGAAGGGAAAAAGTCCATGTCGTCATTTTCAATTATTTTCCAAGCAGTTCCCACATTATTTTAACCTTCGGTTTTTATTTTTTATTTTTTTATTTTTTTATCTAATAATGAATTGTCTTTTTTCTACAGTGGAAAAAGAAAAAAAAAAAAAGAGAGTGAACATGAAGCTATATATAGCTTCGTCCTGAGCTCATTTGCTTATTCATTGCCACGTCACCCTCAACGAAAAACACTCATTAGATTGAACATGCAAATAAATCTTCACCGTCCATTCAGAACCGAAATCCAACAACAAAAGATAACGAGGACTGTCGTGGTTTTATGGTGCAGGTTCAACTTGGGAGTAGAACCAGCAGATATCATTTTTTGTTTCCCCTGAAAATGCCAAGGAACACAAGTGTTGAGCACTACCGGACACATATATAAATAGTTAAAACTTGGAAGCTATTATTATTATTATTATTATTATTGTTTGCCGATCCAACTCGAAACTTATGTAAGATTGTAAAGGAAAGAGAATCACATCTGTTTTCCACATCAAAATAGCATTTAGTTCAACTAGCTTTGTATAAGAATATGACGGATGACGATTATTATAGGTGCATATCCTATTCTGATCATTATTTTATATAAGATTTACACTTTTCAAAGATATATAAGATCTTTGTAAATTCTACTTAAATTGTTTTGGCACCATCTTTCCTCCCTCTTCTTTCTTATAGCCAGTAACTTGTTAGTTTGTAGGATGACAAAAGAAAACTACAACCAACACTAGATTGTATTAAAATCCTGTTCTTTTAATACGTTGATTATGATTTTGACTCCTGAAAAGTGTTACTATCAGGATAAATGTTAACGTCACTTTTGTTATCACTCTCTTTGTCACTTTTTACATTTATTGTTTGATGCATAAATTTTATTTTTTCATTTTCTGTTTAAATAATAATATATCACGATAGAAAGAATAAAAACACTTGAAGTGGAGCATGATTAAAAATATTTAGAGTATCACTTGTTATAAACACCACAACAAACAAAAGATGCGATCTATTTTTAAGCCTCATAATATGAGACTCACTTTCAATTACAATCGTATTCTAAGTTGGAGCAATGAACTTATTTGAAGTGGTTCATTTTGTACCAAAGAAGCCTATATATAAACAACGATTAATTTTACTCCCCCACCTATCTACTCTAGGTTGGGGGTAAGGCCGGGAGGTTCTATACACATTTTCATACTTTGTATTTGGAGTACTTCACTTAATTTTCTCTGCAGTATTGGGCTTTGGCGGTATTTATCACGCACTTCTGAGACCTGAGACTCTTGAAGAATCTTTTTCATTTTTTGGTTATGTATGGAAAGATAGAAATAAAGAGCTCGTTTGGTAACATTTTTAAAATGATTTTATTTTTAATATAAAAATAAAAATGAGATTGTTTTATAAATCATTCTGGAACCGATCCTGAAATTGTGTTTGATTAATTTTTTAAGAGATTGTATTGAGTATAATAAAAAAATAATATCGTGTTTAGTTATAATTATTAATTAATATATTATAATATTATTGATAAATATTAAAAAATGAAAAAATAACTTTTAATTGTTTTCTAATTCCTTCGTAAAAATTATTCTTATTAATTTGTAAATTTTTTTCATTTTCATGTCTAAGAAAACGTTTAATTTTTTTTTTTAAAAAAAGTAAAAATTAATTTTAAACACATCCATTATAATTTTACCTAACCCAGTTTGTACCTGGCTATCTGCAGAGTTGTTCTATATAATTTTATAAGATATCGTTCATTTTATCGATTTAAATTTTTATTTTAAATTTTTACAGTAAAAAATTATTAAAAAATATCACATTTAATTTTTTTTATTATAATAAAAAATTTTTAAAAAATATCACATCTTAATTTAAATTAAAAATTAAAATTCGTAAAGTGAATAAGACCTAAAAGTGTTCTTTACTCTCGTATTCCTAAAAAAAATGAAAAAAAAAGTACAGAGAAGCCTCTTAAATAATATAATAATGGAAAAGTGAACCAAGAAAAAATAAAGTAATAATTCTTTTGCAGTTATTGCTCTCAAATCTTAAAATTCGGGACAAAGCAATAAAGAAAATACTTTTTAAATAGATCTGCCACTTGTACAACCCGCCTCGGGGCATGATTCTGCCACCACTACCATCACCACCCTCATGCCTTTATTACACCCACACTCTCCACAACACCCACCCCTCTCTCTCTCCCCTCTCGCTCCGTTTGGTTGGAAAGAAAGATAAGGAGAGAACAGAGAATATAAGCTCGTTCATTTTATTAATTTTAATTTTAAATTTAAGGTTTATTAAAGTAAAAAATTATTAAAAATAATTATATTTAATTTTTTATTATAATAAAAAATTTTTATATAAAATTATATCTCAACTCAAATTAAAAATTTTAATCAGTGAACTACATAGAGCCATAAAGTATATGGATAATTAAAATCATTTTTTATATAATTTAATAAGAGGGGGGACGAGAGTTAGAAGGATAAAAGATAACTATTTATTTAATTATTATATTTTTTATTTTACTATTTATTAGTAATTTATTTTGATGGGTAAAAAAATTGTTTTAATTTAATTTTAAATAGAATAGTTAGATTCTTCCATAAGAGAAAATTTTAAAATGATAAGTTTAGAGAGAGACTCTCTCTCTATATCTCTTTTCTTTAAGTTCCGTTTAGTTTGTTGATTCGAGTTTTTAATTTGAATTGAGATGTAATTTTATATGAGAAATTTTTATTATAGCAAAAAAATTAAATGTGACTGTTTTTAAAAAATTTTTACTGTAATAAAATTCAAATTCAAATCAATAAAATGAACATGATCTTAATCTCTTCTCTCCAATCAAACAATGGAATTACCCTTTCACTCCGCCACTCTCCCTCCATCCACCTCTCCTTTCCAACCAAACATACCCTTAATGCCTTTGTCACTTTCAATGGGCTCCACTCTCCTTCTCACACACAGCAAAACAATTCAGCTCAATTATCAACCGTAAGATATTCCTCGAAATCCACAAATACTTTGATCACGCGGTGGCTCACAAAAGTGGACCTACAGCAAACAAGATCATTAACATCTCCACACTTTTTAATTTCTATTTTTTTCAATTTATAATTTTTTTTTAACTTATTTTGACCGAGGAAGAAAACCCCACTTTTCCTCTCCCCTCCTCTCTATATAATCCTTTCCAACCCTTCCCCTCTCTCTCATCAATCCTTTATCTGCCTTTTACTTTCTCTCTCTTAAAATCTTTCAACTTGCAAACCTCTCTCTCTCTAGCTCTCTATCTATATTTTTCTTTTCTGGGTTCGCAATGGCTGAAATACAAACAGCATCAAAACGCCAGAGGGAAGACGTCGTAGAGGACTTAGGCGAAGCGTTTAAGCGCCAAAAGTCTTACCACGACATACTCTCTCTCCTCGAATCGGAAGAAGAGGAGCCAAACGAGGACTTATCCTCTCTCATCACCAACCTCCAACAAGAGCTCTCCAGCTCCGACAATTCTTCTACCTTCGACCACCCACTTCTCCAAATAGCGTCCGACCCAGATAACCAAACGACAGCCTCTTCCACTGTCGTAGAAGATTTCGCCTCTTCTTCTTCGTCGTCGTTTTCTTGTTTATCGCCGGTTGTTCTGAAGGAAGACGAACATGAGGAGGACAAGGAGAGAGTCATGAGGCACCTTCTAGAAGCTTCCGACGACGAGCTCGGGATTCCGAATAGATCAGACGACGTCGGAGTTGACGGAGATGACGGGTTTAACGGCGGAGATGGGTTTTCGTTGCCGGAGGGTCTTTGGGAGCTTGAAGATGAAGCTGCTAATTACTATACTTTGTTGCAATCCGAGCTTTTTATGTAGTGGAGAGGGTTGAAAATGCAAAAGAAGTACATGGTAGGGGGTTTAGATGAGAAAGTAAAAGGGTGTTGGGAGGTGGATGTAGGACAAATTGAAGAAAAAATTTGACCTTTGGGAATTTTCAGTTTGGTCCCTCTTCTGTAAAAATTAGTAACTGGGGTCCCTTTCTAGAAAATCAACTTGTAGAAGAAAAATCTATTCACATTCCTTTCATTTTCATCCTCTTCAAGTCTTTTTTTTTTTTTGTGAGTCCTTTTAGTTTAGTTGGACACCCCTTGGCCCTTCCTCAGTTCCTCATGTCGAAAGATTAACACAGCTATAACCAGAAAGATTTAGACCAATAAATTTAAAAGGAACTCTAATAGTAGGATAATAATTGTTATTTTATCGTATCAATAGAACGTTGTTATTTGCAGTTGAAACTAGTTAAAACAATAATTTCTATAGATCAATTAATCAAAGGGAATTTTTCTTATCTTTTCTCTTATGAACATTTTCTGTTTATGATTTGTATTGTTTTTTTAAATGAATTTAATTTTTAATCAGATTTAATAGATATTTGACTAAAAAAGAGAATATCAAGAAAATATCCTTTACACTAAATAAAATAGAAGTTTCTAGTTCCAAGCTTAACTTATTTCCCAAACTTAAATTAGAAAATGATGGACTGCCCAAACATTTGTTTCTTTTGTAAATTAAACAAAATAAAAAATAAAAAACGGAAATCTCGTTGTTGAGACGCAAAACGTTGAGGTCTGTTTCATATTTTTAAATTTAAATAATTAATTCTGTTATAATATTTTTTTATAAAATATTAAAATTTTAAAAATCAGGATTAAAAATTTTGATAAGACCTTTCAAATGAATCGTGAATATATTGATTATTATACTTCACACTTTTTTTTATTTTTTGAAAGTTCTTCACACGTGAGGTAAGATTTTTTTTATCCCGTCTTAATAAGTGCGAGTTACACGTATTTAATCCTAATAATATTAAAAAAATTTTACAACTCAATAATATTTGGGTTGGGTTGAAACGGAATGAGTTAGGTAGTCGGCTTTATCATTTAAAGAATCAAAGTTCAATATAATATTTTAAAGTTTATTATTAAATAGAAATAATAACTTTAACATTTAAAGTTTATGATCAAATAATATTGGTCATCAAATAGAACTAATATGATAATTAAACATAACTCCAACGTTCAAAGTTCATCATTAAATAGAAATAATATTGAGTAGTCAATCATCAAATAAATAACAATTCAAAGTTTAATATAACATCAAATATGAAGTAAAGTGGTCCATCCAACATCAAACATAAAGCAAACATAAATTAGAGGCTTAATTCAAATCCATCCAAAACAATAACTGCAACAACAACCATCATTATTAGTACACACTCATAGGCTCCTTATTAGGCATGTTTGTGTGGGTTGGGTTAGGATGTGCGGGTTATTATAGGCTCGACCCACAAACTACTCCAAACACATCAGGCCAGACATTTAGTGGGCTGAAAAATAAAAAATAATACTATAAGTTGTTTTTTTTTAGTTAAATTGGGATGTAGTAAGTTGAGTTTAGGATTGTTCGGATTTATATACTACCCCTAGTAATCTTTACAATTGCAGGGTGTTATTTTCTTTATCACTTTTTTATTTATTCGGAAATGGTTGTCCCATCACTTTACTAATACTCCTGTGATCTTTATAAGTTTGTTTTAAAGATCATATCCGTAGTACAATCATGTTATTGTTTTAGATTTAAATTATGTTTTTTTATAGTTTATTACAATCTCTTCTCTTTTTTTTTTTAATGATTTCTTTTCGTTGAGTTTTATAATAAGATATATAATATATATTGTTAGGTCCGTTTTTTAGTCGGTATCACAAAAAGTGTTATAACACTAATTGTAACACTAATGACAGGTACGTGTAAATAGATATATTTTTTTTATTCAGTAACAGCAAATTATAAGAGTAGAAAGATCAACAGAAACATAAAAGACACAAGGAATTGATATCGCAGTTCGGTGCACACACCTACATCTATGGGGCCACACCCAGACAATTAATAATCCACTAAGATAAAGAGATTATAGGCACCAATCGGTCTTACAAACTCAAAGACTCCCTCCTTGATGTAGTCGCCGCTGTAGAGAATCCTCTTAGTGACTTTATTCAGCGAGCACCACTCGTCTTTAAAAACTTTCTCCTGAAAGCAATATGTTCTTCTCCTGAAGAACCACTGTTTGTTTTTTTTTTCACTCAAGGAGCATCTAAGCAGCCTTTTGCTGCATAATATTTCATTCAAAGAGCTCTACCACATTCATTGGTGCAAACCAAATATATACACCCCAAATGGGTCTATAGTCCCATCTATTTCTTCTACCAAAATTACCCTAAATAAAGCAACTTCTCCTCCAAGGATTCTTCCCATACATAGAGCTCATCAATTAGCCACCAAAAGTCAACAAAATTAGCTCCATAAACTTATTTCCTTTTATTGAGAAAATCATCCCAAATCATCATCCCATATCTGGTGCAAGTAGCCAAGAATAGAGTCTCCATAGTAGTCCACAATCTTGCTGATTTTGTTTTTGAATTTACAACCTTTTGCCAACAAATTTGCCAACTAATAGTCCTAATAATCTCCCCCTTTGACATTTTTTTTTGACAAAACTAACATATTGTTCCTATTAACAATAAAAATTCAAAAACTAGAAAAAAAAAAATACAAAAACAACACCTTTCTCCCCCTTTTTGACAAAAATAAGCCAAAATATGTAACATAAAGTTTACAAAATAAAGAATAAAAAAATCACACCATTGACCCTTCTTCAGTAGCTGATGTCAGAGATCATGTTGTAACCCTTGTTGGAACACTCGAAATAACACTTCGCACTAGATATCATCTTTCAAGGTCATTAATCTTTGCAAATTGCTCTCCCTGAATCCTCTACGAGTCTTACTCCCCCTGAATATAATATTCTCCCATGCATATCTATCAAAAGTTTGGAGTGACCATTACCACAATACCAGAGTTAGTACAACATGCTTTAAAGGAATTATAAGTCTCATGACACCTTAAATAAGATTTTCTTAGCCACACACGTCTAGGAAATTTATTTTGCACATCAACCTTCATTTTAAATGTCATTCTTGCGGAATTTGGTGGATTAGGAAGCACACATATCTTCAAAGCATTCAAATACTTGTAGCATCTTGGTCTTATATGGCCAGCCAAACCGCAATAATGACATATGGGGACAAATCTTTTACGTTGAAGGGGTGAGATAATAACCTTCTTACTGAGGGTAGTCTGAGGTTCAGGAGCGGGTGTCTCCTTCACAAACACTGTCTTGGACATTGAGCTTTCACCAGTGTATCCAAGACCTTGACAATCACCACTTGATCTTCCTAATGAAAGAATATGTTATAGTTTATTTGTACCAGAATTAATCATTTTCAAATTTTTTTGAGTGCTCTCCAGTTCAACCCTTGTTTCATTCAACTTCTTTTCTCTTTCTGCAGCAAAGAATTCATAATTATCAGCAACTCTCTTCAACACGTCATTCTCTTTGACAAGCTCATTGATGCGCTCCCGTAGAGACTTATTTATTTCACACACTTTAACCAATTTGCTGAACATGGTCTTATAAGCTTCTTGTATGGCATCAACAGTCAATTCCTCACCATCACTGTTACTTTCAGAATCTGAAAAATCTCCATCATTTTAGTTGTTCACAGATTCTGTTTCAGCATTTGTTGTAACACTGTCTACAACACATTTTGTAACACTGTCTACAAAAACTCCTTGATCAGTATAAACATTGAAAGCAACGTAGTGACTCACATGGTCTTCATCCTCCGGACTGCCTTCAGAGTCTTCATAACTCCACGTTGCATTCAAAGACTTCTTCTTCTTCTTTAGAGTGTTGGCATACTCAGATTGACTGTGACTGTAACCGTCGCATTCCCGGCATTGAATACCTTTGTTTTTTGTTTTCATCTCTGTGTTATTTGCTACTACTTTATTCTTCTGGAAATGGTTTGAGTTTCCAAAGTTTGGTGTATGGTTCTTCTTATTGAACTTCTTCATTACCTTGTTGAAATTCTTCGATAATCGTGCTATGGACTTGGTTAAGTCTTTTTCATCATCGGACTCAACTTCTTCAACTTCGACTTAAAAAGTAATGTTTTTCTCATTCTCCTTCTTGTTTTCATTCAGGTTCATCTTGAAAGTACGCAAAGAGCCCATTAATTCGTCAAGCTTTAAGGAATTGATATCACAGTTTGGTGCGCACACTTACATCTGCGGGACCACGCCTAGACAATGAACAATCCACTAAGATAAATAGATTACATGCACCAATCGGTCTTACACACTCAAAGACTCCCTCCTTGATGTAGTCGCCATTGTGAAAAATCCTCTTAGTGACTTTGTTCAGCGAGCACCACTCGTCTTTAAAAACTTTCTCCCGAAAGCAATACGTTCTTCTCCTAAAGAACCACCTTTTTTTTCACTCAAATAGCATCTTAGCAGCCTTTTGCTGGAGAATATTTCATTCAAAAAGCTCTACCACGTTTATGGCTGCAAACCAAATATATGCACCCCAACTTGGTCTATAGTCCCATCTATTTCTTCCACCAAAATCACCCTAAATAAAGCAACTTCTCCTCCAAGGGTTCTTCCCATACATAGAGCCCACCAATTAGCCACTAAAAGTCAACCAAATCAGCTTCATAAACTTAATTCCTTTTATTGAGGAAATCATTCCAAATCTAGTGCAAGTTGCCAAGAATAGAGTCTCCATAGTAGTTTACAATCTTGTTGATTTTGTTTTTGAATTTACAACCTTTTGCCAACTAATAATCCTAACATATATATATATATATATATATATAACTAGTATTGTGTAATTCCAAACGATTTGTTTCCATCAAATTTCTTTGTTAGTTCTAATATACCTAGAGATGATGTAATTTAACAGGTTGCCTATTATTAATCTTTTTTTCGTACTATAAGTTTCTTTTTAAAAAAAAACAAATTTCATTCGGTATTATTGTTTGATTGATAGCGTTTACTACTTTACTTCACGCGCCTTTGCTTTTGGTGGAACTTAAAAGACTGAAGACAAAACATTGAATTAATTTTTAATGTAAATGTCAATATTAATGTTATATTTAGCAATATACATTTCACCTTCAAATATTTAACAATATACATTTCACCTTCAAATATTTAGCAATACATATCATCAATGTTGATCTCTGAGCTGACTTCACTCACATGCTTAAAAACAGTGTTTAGACTGTTGTTTCAATATTCACCTGGTCGGTGCTTCGACATATGTTCAGGCTCGGGGTATGT